AATGTAATGCAGAATGAGTTGGAAATCTTAAACTTGGCTGATCACAGTTTTTGAATCAACCATTACAAAATCCAGGAATCTGCCTACCACAAATTTCTTTGAGCCAGCATCTTCCGTTTTGTATTTTTTCTCCAAAGACTTCCAATGTTCATTTGCTGTCTTGATAGGACTGTAGACGTTGTATAATGTGTTGTCATGTCCGTTCAAGATGTAGTTCCGGCAAAGGAAATCGGCATGTTTCCAGGCATCAACCGCAGTAACCACTTGCCGGTCGGTTTCATCCACTTTCAGGATAGGAGCATCTTCACAGAGGAAACGAGCCAGGTTCAGAGTTGTAAGATAGAACAAAATTTTTCTGTTGCCATCTTTTAAAGTCAGTTCCTCAGAACTTCTCTGGCTTCTCTCCATGATTTATTGGTACTGTTACCACCGGAGAAGGGGTTGGCACAATTGCAGCCATCGCAGTAGTACTTCTTTGGGCATTAGTTCCAGTAGCCATCAATTCTAATTTATAAAACAAAATTATAATTAGAATTTACACTACACAGAAAATTAAACCAAATTCACAGAATTAAATTCTGTAAAAATAAAAGAAACAAGAATGTAACTTTTATTTTCAATTAATTTGGAAATAAAATAAAATAAAATTTTATTTAACCAAATTAATTCCACACAGGAAATTAAATTCTGTAAAATAAAATAAATAAGAAAATAACTTCTATTTTTCAATTAATTTGGAAATAAAATAAAATTTTATTTAACCAAATTAATTTCACACAGAAAATTAATTTCTGTAACCCTTCAATAACTAAAATACTAAAACAGAATTTTAAGTAATGAAACCTTAGAAAATAATTTCTAAAACCTAAAATTAATTTCTGAAAAAATTCCACAAAAATATATTCTAAATTGTTAATGACACCAGTATCGTACTACTAGTTGTCAAAGAAAATAGACAGTATATTACTACTATCTGTCAAATAGCATACAACCACTATTTGTTTTCCCAACCAGAATATTATTTTGTAAATCCACAGAAAATAATTTTCTTAAAAGAAGAAAGAGAAAAGGAAACAAATGAAAAATTCTGTAAACAGAATAATTCGGATCTGTCTTAAGATTGTTGGAACAATCTTCTGTGTAAATAAAATAAATTGAAATAAATCAAACAAAATAAATAAATAACGTACCAAATTTATTTATCGAACCGAATTAAAAATAAAAGGCCAAGTCGAGTGTGTGATACTTTGTCCTTAAGAAGATTTGCCCCGCTACGGTACTTACGGTTGAGTGGCGTCTATCTCCTAGGATACAATGATCTTCACAAATTGTAGTAGTACTCCAAACAATTTGTTCGGCGAACCAAACCTATGTTCTAACTCTCTGAAATTTATTCAAAAACTAATATGAAGAATAATGCAAAAGTGCAGAATTTAGGACAGCAAAAGATAGAATATCAGATTGAATTTCCGATCACTTGGACTGCAGGAAATGGATCTATATATAGGCACAAAAGGTGACTAAAAATCTGTCCGAACAAGTGTTAACACTGCCGAACAGATGCAACTTGTTTAGTATCCAAACAGTTTCAGACCGTTGCACAATGAACACTTTTATTTAAACAATTGAAAAAGTATCCGTTGGACAATGTTTAAAACTGTTGGAATATTTCCTTTTATTAAACTATTTGAATAGTTTAATCTAAGAAGCCGTTAGTGGAACAGTTTATTCAAACTATTTGAATATTATTGTTAAACTATTTGGAATATATATATATATATATTAAACTACTTGAATATATATATATATATATATTAAACTATTTGAATAGTTTAATAAATAAAGGAAGAGGTACAAACTTTAGGAAACCACTTAGGAACCAAAAATTTGAATTTAGAATTAAATTAAATTTCCATAATTACAAACTTTAGAAAACCACTTAGGAACCTAAAATTTGAATTTAAAATTAAATTAAATTCCCACAATAATTTTTATTGAAAAAATTCAAATAAATTTTATCTAAAAAATTAATGTTAGACCCGAAAACGACGTCAACTTCCCATTTACTCATAAATGGTTTTGACGTTCCGTCTTCACCGTGTGACTTGCCACGCGGCAAGAAACACTTCACCTCTTCGGACCCATTCCAAAAGACGTTTGGGACTCACTCAAATATAAGCTCAAAAATATACCTATATTAAACCATTTTTCCAACATGTTCATCCTCACTCTAAAAATTCACCATCTAAGATCAATTGAGTGGTTTTCCTGAACTTGCGCAGTGGAAAAAGCTTTGAGGCTAATCAAAATGACTTTTAAAAGCCAAAGACAGTTTGAGGAATGCAACTACATGGTGATAAAAACTGGAGACTCGGAGTATTGTTTACTATTTGATCATTTTTTATTTTTTTTTTGCCTCTGTTTTACTTTTTTATTTTTGCATATTCCTCGGAAGTCCTTTTCTATGTTTCATTTTTTTCCTCTAAGCTCAAGAAATCGCTAATACCAAAGTAAGTCAAAACACCAATGGCTACAACTCAGAACGCAAATGAAAATGAAATAAATTACCTCCCCCAGATAATTGAAAATGATCAATTGAAACAAGCATCAAAATGATTTTTTGAAAAGATTTTTTAAAGTGGTGTAATTTAAATTTTTTGATTTATTTATTATCTAAGTGTATCTTGAAGGGTAATTCGATAAAAAATATAAGGTATATTGAAAATAAATTATAATCTAAATAATTTAATAAAATATATTGAAAAATTTAATGTACTTAATAATTTTTTGGATACAAATAATCTCCCAAACAAAATGGGCTACTCACATTGATTGGTATCGACAAAATGTGATTGAAAATATTATATAAATTAATATTTAAAAAAATTTACTATATAATATACAACAATAAAACTTTGAATTATTGAACAAGATATACATTAAATATAGACTAAAAGTATGACAAAGATTGCATAATAAAACATATTTATAAGATTAATTAATGTAATGGGTCACTCACACGTCATCGAGTTTAATAATTGATCAATGTGCAGATTGTAAAACGGTCTATTCACATGAATTGGGGTCAGCAAAAATCATCCCATAGAAGGGATTTTATTCCAAATTTTAATTAGGAGCATTAATGTATTTAATTTTGTATATACATCTCACAATATATTAATCAAATTTTAATTATACTTCTTCATTTATAATATTTTTTTTTTAATAAAAAGGATGGTAGATAAAATGTGTTGAACCTTGTTATATTACAAACCAGAGCACTGTTCAAAGATTTGTACTTTTCGGATTATTATAAATTTTGTTGTTTTGAAAAAATTATGGGCAAATAGAACTCCATTCTATAATAATGGATCCATTGCTTGAAAAGCTTTTACTCTTTTCATTTTCATTTCAATTCTTTTATGTACTTCTCTGTTCAACTTGGTTTACCAAAAAATATTTTACACAAATTTTATGAAAAAAATAAACGTTTTAAAGTAGTAAATGTGTGATACAATAAGATAAATGTAAGTTACACCAAAATGAATATGAGTCATACACTTTATTTTTTGATAAATTTTTGAATAACTTTTTAATATTTCATTTTTATTACTATCACAAAAAATGAACAAATATTTTTATTATATTTTTACTATTGCATTTTTTATTTTAAAATAAAATTAAGTTATACTTTCATATGCAATTGTAATTTGTGTTGTAAGTCACGAGTCATTTTATTTCATTATAACTGATGCATTGTAATAAAAAGAGCATAAAACTGGAATTTTAATTGATTGAGAATTTGTTGGTTATACAGAAATAAAGTGGAAACATTTTAATCTTATTGATAAAAACGAAAGTGGATCTTTTTTTATAAAAAAAAAAAATTATTTTGACAAAGAAATTTGATCAGTCTTATTTTATAAATATGAGTTGGTAGACCAAACCACACTCAATTAATGAAAACTTTGTCATAGTTGCCTGGTAAATATCCCTATTGTCAGACCCAACTCTATATAGAAATCACTAATTACCGTAGTCCAATATTGAAATCATATATCATATTATACAAACCATATATCAAGATTTATACAAATCACCTGTCTTTAGTGTTGGACTATTCAATAACTTTAATTTGCACAAATATAGGCTACTTGAAAAATTATTAAATAACTGTGCATATATTATTATGTAGTGATTTCGGAATATGAAAAGCTAAAACACTTTGGTCGCGAAAAGTGATATTTTCTCGACCAAATATCTTAGTCGCCAATTGACACATTTCGCAACCAAAAAGTTTGGTCACCAATTATCACATTCAACGACCAAAAAGTTTGGTCGCCAATTGTAACATTCCACGACCAAAAAAATTTGGTCACCAATTGTCACATTCTGCGACCAAAGATTTTGGTCGCCAATTGTCACATTCCGCGACCAAACATGTTTTGCGCAACTAAAACTTTAGTCGGCAATAGACCTATTCGCGACCAAATCCTTTGGTTGCCAAAATTAATAATTTTAACGACTAATTATTTAGTCGCCAAATCTGCTTGGTGATACACCGACTACTTTATTTAGTGGGCAAAAGTATAACTTATCTTTCCCGACTAATCAATTGGTCGCCAACATCAAACAAAATAAACTTGCAATTTATAAAAATCCATCCAATTTATTCAATATAATCTGTAATTTGCAAAAGTCATTCAAACCAACAAATAAATTGAATCATGAACATTCAACAAAATACATAGATCAACCATTTATGAACCTGTTTAATTAAAATCAGCAACTATTATAAGTTTTCATCCACAAATAATTCCAAACTACATATTTCATCTAGCATAAAAATTTAAGACATAACAAATACTTGTTATTATGTTTTAAATTTTTATCCACGTACATCAACCGAAAAATATAACTAGTAGTCTACCAAATATTTTCTATACACACCCATCCAAAAATATAACTAACTACTAGTCTACCCTTTTTCTGCCTATATCGAATCTCTAATCTCCTGGACCGATAGTCAGTGCAGTTTGAACAGGAAACAAGTTCTTTGTAAGTGCTGGATGCAGGAAACCATCCTTCCAAATCATACTTCTTTGCAGCTGCATCATTCAAAGCACCGGAAACAATAGCCACAATTTGATAGGGTAGTTTTAGCTGCAATAGAGAGAATTATGTCATACTTGTAGGACAGAAAAATGCATAATTAAATAGAGAAAATTCAATTCGTCATCAGCAGGAGCCCATATATAGGACCCTGCATTTCTTTTGCGTCAAGTGGCAGACTTTTTAGCATTAACCAAACAAAACAACCAATTCCAAAATCACTCATCTTACATGACATTACAAAACTTGGCAAGATAATCTATATGAGTACTATAAGAAACATTATCAAGCATCTCCAGATTAAAAAAAATGAATATAACGAAGAAATAACCAAAAATTATGCACATCATTCCCCTAAAATTCTGAGGGTAGGAAAACTCTATACCATCTTGTAAAACTCTTATGAGTTCGTTATCATTTCCTATGTCCCAAGAGTCATATATGTTAAACCTACTATATGTGATTTAAAACAGTTACGCATATATAAGGTAAAAAAGAAGCATAAAAAAATCAATTTTGTGAACCAAGTGGATCTAATTGGGCTGATCAAAATTTTGTGCCTTGTTAATTGCCTTGTTAAGAGTCATGGAAGATTTCTCCTTCCTGGACTATGACCTCCAACTCACAAAATATATATATAGAATTGTTTGATCTAAATTCATTCTGAGTGACATTCATTTAGGTCACCCTTAATGAATCTATCACATATTGAATTTGTTTGCCTATATTTCTAAAAAAAAAAAAAAAAAATTTCCGTGCGCATATGTGAACTTGGATTGTCATAATAGAATACTTAATAGGAAATGCTAACCATCGCCATTGGATGGTGATTAATGTTCATATATGTGTAAAAATTATATTAACATATATTAACATATATTTTTTGTTTTTTATTTTTTGTAGACATTAAACAAAGAACTATAAAGATAAACGTTACAGTCCTAAGATTTTAATTCCCCCAAATTAGAGCTTTGTTCACCACTCAACCCTAACACGCCATATAAAAATAGAAAAAGAAAAAGAAAAAATGACAATGGTCATTATGCTTATTATTATTTTACCTTATTTAATGCATAACAAAATTCCACATGATAAAAAAATCCATAGGTAATTTACCTGAGTATACAAGCCATTAGAAAAAACATGGCAGGAACAATGTTACACATGGCAGTGGCAAAAGTAGCTGTTGTGTACTTCATTCCAGTATAGAACAAGTTCTGGTCTATCACAGGCCTGATTACACAAAAATAAGAGTAAAAACATTACATACATGCATTAGATTCACCTTTAAAGCATAATTAAATTAATTTATAAGGATTTTCTTTTTGAGGTGAAAAGATAAATTAATTACTCCAACAAGCCCAGTAACATTATCTTCAAGAAGACAGAAGTGGTCATCCTTGGCCTTACTTTCCTGTACATTTGTTATAGTCAATAACATAGTCTGATTAGTTTAAAACCTTCTCTCATAGAGCAAAGAACAGAGAGAGAGAGAGAGAGAGAGAGAGAGAGAGAGAGGGGGGAGGGGAATACCTTTCAAAGAGGAGAGCAAAGGGAGCAAAGACAAGAGCGGCGACAACATTCCGGTAGACAGCGAAGGAGTAAAGGCTCATCCCTTGGTTTAGACCAAACTTGGCTATAATACCTAAACTCGCATACCCAAACTGCAACAAAATCATTGCCAAGTATGGCTTTGCTCTCTTATACACCTCCATTGACATATTGCTATCTCTCTCTCTCTCTCTCTCTCTCTCTCTCTCTCTCTCTTTTGCTCTCTTGTGTGAAATGTGAAGTGCTTATGGGCAATAGCAGCAACATACCTAAGGTTATATATAAGGGTTGGCTTAATGAATAGAAATTAATCTCAATTTCACACGTCTCGACTATATATATATGTGTGTGTGTGTACTGATTGGACTTGTCTAGTGAAAACCAGTTTCATCAAAAATCAAAACTAGTGGCAATTTCAACCAAATTTGAAGTATCATACACCATTGTTGCTGACTAAGGAGGAGGGCTGAGTAGAGGATCATTTGGTTTGGAAGTCCCATGTAGGGTTGCTTGGCTTTTAGCTTTTAGATGCAGTGAAAAATTATGGGCCGGTGGTGCTAAGACAAATTTACAGAGTGTTCGAACTTAATATATCTATTATTATTATAAGAGTGTGAAGAATATGTCATAATATTTGAACTTAAAACTAGTAAGGCAAAACTGCTCCACTTTCTCAAACTGGTGAACTCGGAAAATCCCAAGAGTATCGCGACCATGAGAACCTGCTTCTTTGCGGAACCAAGAAGAATATCCACCATATCTACTAATTCATGCAACATAAATTCAACAAAGAGCAGCCACTAAAGATTTATAACCAAAAAAATAAAACATAAAAGCCACAATCTAAAAAGCAGAAACACTTCTAAAAAGGTGTTGTTTCCATGTTCAACGTTGGACACAGACACTTGTTAGACACACATCCACACATATCGGACACATGACCAAGCATGTCCTATTATTTATTAAAAATGAAGTCATTATCATTTTCATGTATCAAATCTTTTTAAAAGTTGTCAGAGTGCTCGTATTGTGTCATATCTGTGTCCATGCTCCAACATTCTTTAGTAGCCATAAAGGCAACTATCATTCATGGAAGTAGTTATAACCTTATTGGTAGCTGTGAAGGATGGATCCAATCATCTAGATGATAAGCACATAGTGGCTGTTCAGCAGTAATAATCAAATATTTGTCATCTCCTTCACCAGTTACCTGTACAAAAATAACTAAATCAGGCATCCTCTTGTTATGGTGAACTTTATAAAGCGTACCAACAATTTGTTAAGCAAAAAATGCTAAATACACGAACGGATTTAAAAAAAACCTGATTAAAGTTTCCTGTGTGTTACAAAACTACAGCAAGAGCCTGGTAATCAGAGAAGTACTACAGCCACAAAATATAAGGTTATATCTAAATACTTTTTGATATACACAGAGGAAATAAAGCACATGATTGTGGATATTAAATACCTTCGCCCTACAACTGACTGCATCTTCGAGTTTTCCCTCTTCTAAAGCTGTTTTTGATTGTCTGTCGTCCATCTGCAGATGAGCACGCTGCATGCTGCCGCAAAGAAACGGAGAATACAGAAGTTATACAGAGCACTGACCAATTCAGTGTCATTATTCTACCAAGGAAGTAACATGGTGTATTGCATTGCACTAAGTGTGTAATCTTTTCCCTCCTAAATACACATTAATGTGTACTAATAGGGTGGCGTTGTTAATCGCCCAAAGTGAGAAGCAAAAATATTCTCACAAAGATGTTTCTCAGTATATCATCATGACTATTGAAGTCATGTGTAGTAGCAATACCATACCAAATACGACCATTAGTGGGATCTTGGGCTAAGTCTTGACTAAACCTTAAAAATCTTAATGCCACAATGCCTTTCAAATCCTCCTAGCCATTTTCTTACTACAGTAATTCTTGCTAAGAAGAATGCACATGTTGTGGCAATTCCACCCAAAAAACATATAGTTACTCCTACAACACATCCATGTACAATGCTCGAGGATCTATCCTCTATAGCACGAGCAACTTCAAATTTATTATGAACCCAAATGATGGATTCAATAAGTTAATGCCAATAACAAAGTCTGCTAAATATGAAGTCTGCTAAATATAACAAAGCCCTAACCAATCACAAACATATCTAGGATAAAGTGTAATTTAACCTAATATTATTACTACCGAGTAAGTTTTAGATTCTATTATTCATTTACACCTTTTAAGAGATTGACTTATTTGACAATAATTAACAAATTATGTTCATAGAAACATTAATATTTTTGTTGTTCTTCACTTGTTCTTTTGTGTTAATGACTTTGATGCCCGTGTCGGACAAAAAGCTTATATTTTAGTAGTTTGACTAACCACACAAACCATGTTAAAACTATATAGACTTATAAACCCATGAATCATGAAGAACATCTGAAAATGTCCTAACTGCAATCATATGTACACAGAGACGATTTTCTTGAGTACCTTTGCAATAGGTCACAATGGCAACACCCATGATCAGAGATATATATATATATATATATATTTAAGCTTTAAAAAACTAAACCATCATCAACAACTGGATCTAAGAAATAGGGTTACTATAGAGGGCACATAAGGTTTAATGGCTCTGAGAACTGTATGATTTAAGAAACTAATACACAGTCACACTCAAATCCCAATTGCTTGAAGTTGGTTTTGGTTACAAATGATCTTTGATTTTAAAAGGTAATAAATAAATAACCACCAACCACTGCATAGATGTGCCCTGAAATCCTTCCCACTTCAATTTAAACTCTATATATGGATAATACTCTGTTCCAGCTATTCTACACACATTGCGGACTAACTAAATAAATCCATTTCAATTAGTATATTGTCATATGTCACACCACACCAGTATGCATGAAAATTCTCTTGCAAAGTGCTTAAACATCACCTCATTTTTTTTAATTAAAGAAAATTTAATTAAAAAAAAATAGGTGATCTTGAATATGTGCTTATGATCAGATGCAGAATGAAGGGAATTCTTACAAAGATGTAATTTTCTCTTTTGTTGTAAAATTGGGAGAAGAATTATATACTATTTGTGAACAAAATTCAAGACTCTTTGTCATATAAATGAGCTGTGATTTGTCCTTTTCGTGCCTTCACAGAGAAAAAAACTAACAGCAATAACAATAACAGGATGGAAAAACATTGATTCGGGCAGTAGTTCATTTAGCCAAGATACAGCCCTCAAAACTAGAAATGCATAGGTAACAACTGTATGACCTTCAGAGATTGGCCTTAAACTGATGTGGATATGGCTTCTCATTTTATAGAAATAAAAAATACAACGCATGACATGTAGGCCAAAAAAACAAAAGAAAACAAAGCAGGAAGAATTTGACAGCAAAACAAGAAAATTTCCAAACACAAAACATGCATTATAAGTACCTCTGCATGCACAGCTACCAGTGTAGGCAGTAACTCTACAGCAGCATCTCGCACACCCTGCAAAGTATTAGCAATTTGACAAATTGTTGAGATAAAATAGTGTGCACCAGAGAAGGCGTAGAAAGAAGAAAAGAACCGATAATTTATTTATCACCTTGACTGCAGGTGCTCCCCCCCCCATTGAACTCCTGAATCCAATAAATAGTTCATGGCTGCTGTTCTAATCAAATTTGCGAACCGAAAAAAGGTAAGAATGCTGAGTTAGAAGGGGAATACTGAGCTGGAAGGCCCATATATTTAGGAAGGTCACAGTAACAAAGCCTGTCTCTGGTTTTCTGTAGGGCAGAACTCTGTAGAAGTAAACATCAAACAACAGAGAGGTTGCAAATGTGAATTCTTTGTGTAATAGTTCATTTCAAAAACAAACAAACAAAAAAAAATCAAAGATCTACTCCTCAAAATCACCAATCCTTCTCTTGACAATCGGCAGTGCTTCCTTTATAATTTTAAAACAGAGCTGGAGGCAAATTGTAAACTAAAAGGAAAAAAGGGATGAAAATATTAAATTTAAGAACTCTAATAGAAACTCAGTATTGAGGCAAGTAGCCTAACAGTTGATATCTTCCATCCAGTATACACTTATATACAACAATGGTAAGACAACTGGAGAATTGTGCCATTACACTAAAGAGAAGCAAAAAATTTACGTACTTATCCAACATTCTCTCAACGATTGCCTCCAACTGAGGGTCCATTTTGTTTTCATCATTTGACTCTGCCACCTTTGACTTGAGACTGGCATATTGATCAATTGCTTTAGCTGAGTGAAGATAGAACATGGCCAGCAATAATTAGGAAGGCTACATTGAAAAAGTGTTAATTTCATCCATATAATTTCACAAGTTAATATCAACTATCAAAACCATGATGGACATTATACAATCAACATATATCAGGAGTTGATATCTAGCTTAGGCTTTCACAGACTGCATTTACATGTAACCAATTTGAGGGAAACCAATAATGAATAATAAGCAGATCTTAAAACCTCAAAGTAAACATGGAAGTCTGTTCAAAAAAAAAAAAAAGGAGTAAACATAGAAGTTTTCATGTTGGAAAAGAATGGATGCAAGGTTATTTATCAAAAAAAAAAAAAAAAGGATGCAAGGTGAAAATTCTTACCAAGAAGGGTATGAATGTAATCTGAACCCTTAGAAACATCAAACAGAGGACCAGCTCCCAGAGCATACGATAAAGAGCCATTGAGTTCACCCAAGTAATAAAAAACCTGCCAACAAAAACAAAAGAATTTATGCAACGAAGATAATAGTTACTAAATTGTACATCTCAAGCAGTAACAAAAAAAAGCCTCAGGCCTCAAGAATGAGTCCTCAAGTTCATCCAAGTAATAAAAAGTTGTCAACAGAAACAAGGGAATTTATATAAAGAACATAGCAGTTCCTTAAATTATACATCTCAAACAGTAACAAGCAATAACCTCTGATTTCAAGTCTTATCTTCACATTTGAGTATTCCGTTGTAAGATTACTGATAATAACATAGAGTGTGTAGATATTTTATAAATGGAAACTTGAAAATGACAGAACATATTGAATTATTATGAGTAAATCCTCACATTCAATTTGCCTCACCCTCATCAGAGAACCACCCAGAGATATGCAGCAGATTCTTCTAGACTATCACAGAGTAGCCAACCCTCAGATTACTTTTATGAATATTGGCATCTAGGCCCATGCAAACTGAAAAGGGGCAAAACATATGTAGACTTTTTCTTCTTCTTTTTTTTTTTTTTCCCGAATAGACCACACAAATCAATTTTCAAAAGTGAACTTGTCAAATCTATGCTCAAGAATTTGATGGAAGTACCAGAACTGTTCACCAATAAAAAAAATTAACCACTAGAACATTTTTTTTTTGGGGGGGTGGTGTTTACAAAAAATTTGGAAATCAACTACAAAATTTATAAATTCCGGCATATAACCCTGGCAACCCAAATGGGCACAAAAACCAGGATTGCAGACAACTATTTTTCTTTATACAATAAAACTGATTATAAGATAGAAGAGAAACAACCGTAGGCTGAAGACACAATTGTAGTCCGATCCCAAGACGAAGACACAATCGTAGGCTGAAGATTATTAGGGCTAAATCGAACACAACTGACCCAATCGGAATGAGCATCACCATCCCGAATCGTGTACTTACACTCACCCAAAGTGTTCCACAGCTTGATCGAGCGGTCTCGGGAAGCAGAGACGATTTGGCGATTATCGAAGGAGAAAGCGACGGAGCGGACATCTTTGGAGTGGCCGACGAAGCGGCGAGCAGTGATGCCAGTGGAGAGGTCCCAGAGGCAGAGAGTGGGCACCGATTGAGAGAAAGAACACAGAGAGGGAGAGGGCGGACCGAGAAACATAGAGAGAGGGCACCGATTTGATTTGATTTTTTTTTTTTTTTTTTTCTGATTTCATGGTACAAAACGACGTAGTTTTAAAATTAGCGACCAAATTTATTTGTCGCCAAAAAATTTCAATTCCCGCCCCATTAAAAATCAAATTTTCCTCCCAAACTTTTGGCGCCAAATCTCAATCAACGGCGACTAAAATATTAGTCGCTAAAAGTACTAATTTGGCGACTAATTTTTTTTGGTTGCTGAAAATAAGTTTTTGACAACCAAATTTTTGGTCGCCAAAAAATATGTGACCTTCCGCGACCAAATTTGTAGTTGGTCGGCAAAAGTATACCACTTTCTGCGACCAACTCATTTTTTGGTCGCCAAAATATAACCTTCTGCGACCAATAATATTTGGTCGTAAATAGCTGTGGATATATTATTTGGATAATGTTAGGGATATCAAATTTTTTACCAAATAAATGACCAAATGTCTCCTATAAGTTTGGGAGCTTTTGTCAACCCCACACTCATGTGAAACATTTGGTCATTTGTTTAGTAAAAATTTTGAAACCTATAATATTTTTCATATTATTATGTAGTGATTTCGAAATATAAAAAAAAAAAAAATTGGTTATCTTTAATTTTTGATTTATTTGACAACTGTGAATCAACATTATTTCACCTCATAAATTTCTTATTACATTATTAATTACAAACATTACGTAGATAATTATATCACTTAGGCTTCATTTGGCATAAGGTTTTTTTTGGTTATTTTGGTCACAAAAAGACAAAATAAGTTTAAAATCTAATAAAACAAAATATCATATGCAAATCATAATTATTTTTTTTTTCTCACTAAAATCAAAAAAATTTAAAAAATTCATCCCAAACGAGACTTTTTAACCTCACACTAAAATAATTAAAAAAATCAAAAAATCAATCCACATATTAAACAAAGGCTTAATACGTCTAGAATTTTTAAATCAGGACCGACTTAAGGGTTGTTTTGGGTGTCTTAAATAAGTGTACTTTTTAATTTTTTGGACTAAAAAGTTGAGGAAAAAAGATGATTTTTTAGGATAATTTTTTGGCTTTTTACAAAAAAAAAAAATGTGTATTAAAAAATTGTATAAATTAGTGTATAGAAGAAGATTGGATGGAATAGGTCATACGATAAGATGAATTGAGGGACAGCGTCGGCAGAGTAGAGGCTGGGAGATTATTCCCTGCTTTTCAGGCATTGAATTGGAGGTGTTGTTCGGCCCGTGGGGGCCCACAACGGGTTCCTTTTTGCTAATCAAAATCGTTTCAATGTGTAGAACTCGTCGAGTACTATATTCTTGTAAAAAATCATGTTGATCGGATATCGATAGCTATCTGATCGGATTAGTTTGTTTTCAACCGTTAACTATAACACCATCTATTTTATAAATTCTAACTTATTTGATCTTATAGCTACCGATATCTGATCAATACGATTTTTTACAAGCATATAATACTCGACGAGTTCTACATATTAAACGGTTCAGATTATTAAAAAGGGACCCGTGATGGGCCCCCACGGGCCGAATAGCACCGTGCTATTTGTACACCTAAATAAGTGCAATTTTTTCCAAAAGACAGCTCCGCCTGCTTTGTTGCTTGAAAAGGAAGATTGTGTAAAATTAATTTTTTAATATCTTTTTGGGTGAATAGTAATAATTTTTTAATTTTTTTGGCTTTTTTTTTCGTACCCAAACCAGGCCTTAATATCAGGAAGTGGGAATTCTATCTTCCTATATATTCGGCCAGGCTGAAACACAGCAGGATCAAGGCTTTCAATTTTGTTTGTTGCCAGAATCACCTTGACATCTCATCTTGAATCAAAACCATCTAAGGTCTTGCCTGTTCCTTTGGGAGGCTTGATACCAATGTCTTCATACAATTCAGGATGTGTGAGAGGGAGTTGAACTGCTTCTTTGATTTCCTGTATCTGTGCATCTAACCCACCTATGTCAGCATATGAAAAGGAGCTCTTCTCCAATACAGATGTTACCAGCAACCTGGAGATTCCTCAGTCTGCACTGTATCTGCCTGATGCGGTAGAGGACAACGAAATCATGCTTGCGTGGGACCATGGAAAGATTTGGAGGTTCAAGGCTCCTCTGAGGAGAGATGGTACTGGTAGACGTTACATGAGTTGCCAATGGCGTCAATTTGCCAAGGACAATTCTCTCATGGATCGTGATGTTGTCAAGTTTTATCGCTCTACTTCTATTGTGAATTTGTATGTTGTGAGTTTTGAACGTACGCTTAGGGGGTGCTCCCCTTTGATTTATTCGGAACAGGAAGATTGGCGCCTCCTTGTCTTAATATCAGTGAAAACATAAATATGGAGAGAATAATTGACAGAGCAAACAAGCTCTTTGTTTTCAATTGTATTAATCCTTACGGGAAGACTCCATTTTATAGGAGTGATTATACAACATTTGCAAGACAATATAATAAAAGGCTACTAGACAACATAATGAGATTGGCGCCTCCTTGTCTTAATATCAGGAAGTGGAAATTCTATCTTCTTATCTATTCGGCCAGGCCGAAGCAGAGCAGGATCAAGGCTTTCAATTTTGTTTGTTGCCAGAATCACTTTGACATCTCATCTTGAATCAAAACCATCTAAGGTCTTGCCTGTTCCTGGCTCTCTATAAAGTATGACCCCCTTGGGAAGCTTGATACCAATGTCTTCATACAATTCAGGATGTGTGAGAGGGAGTTGGACTGCTTCTTTGATTTCCTGTATCTGTGCATCTAACCCACCTATGTCAGCATATGAAAAGGAGCTCTTCTCCAAGACAGATGTTACCGGCAACCTGGAGATTCCTCGGTCTGCATCTGCACTGTATCTGCCTGATGTGGCAGAGGACAACGACATCATGCTTGTGTGGGACCATGGAAAGATTTGGAGGTTCAAGGCTCCTCTGAGGAGAGATGGTACTGGTAGACGTTACATGAGTTGCCAATGGCGTCAATTTGCCAAGGACAATTCTCTCATGGATCGTGATGTTGTCAAGTTCTATGCTGTCCCTTTTGAACGTGCGCTTAGGGCTCTCCCACTCTTCCCCGGTGCTCCCCTTTGATTTATTCGGAACAGGAAGATTGTGTATTGTGTGCTGTTTGTTACTGTTGTTGTTGAACTATATGCTATGCTGTGATCTTTTATTATCTTCACTTTTAGGAACAAGATTTGTCCTTTTTATTTGGTTCGTGTGAAGCATGAATGTCTTTATTTAGATCTATGGTCTATTATCAAGAAATATGATGTTGGCTTCCTAAGCATTTATTTTTATTATTATTATTATTTTACTTCTTCCTCATGTTCTTGGGATTACTACTTTTTTTTGAACCCTAGACAGTAGAGAGAATAGAGATGGGATTTCGTTAAATGGTGCCGGTGGGATGACGGAAGGTGGTCTGCGTAGGAAGCAAACGAGGTTTGCACAAGGAGGAGAGAGAGAGAGAGAGAGAGAGAGAGAGAAGGGTGAGTTGCTGAATCGACTTTGGCAGTGGATGAGCAGCGGGATATCAGAGGGAGGGAGAAGGTGGTGGTTGGTGGTACGTAGTGTGAAATAGGAGAGAAAGAGTGGGCGGAGGGAGAAGAGGGAGCAAGGGGCAACACTTACTTGATTTAGAAAATATTAAATGAGTTACTTAAGTTAATTCAATATTCTTAAATTATAATTATTCAATAATTTTTTTTTTTTAAAGTTAGGCAAGATTAATTTGAGTTAATTTTTGTCATTTTAGCTTGTACAAGTCTTTGCATTACATGGTGTTTATGTAGCCGTCTATAGTTTAATAATGACCAATGCGTATTTTAGCTTGTGCAAATCTTTGCATTGCATGGTGTTTATGTAGCCGTCTATTGTTTAATAATGACCGATTACATTACATGGTGTTTATGTAGCCGCCTATAATTTAATAAGAGCAATGATAGGTATCATGAAATTTTTTTTATAAAAATGATCATGAAAGATTTATGATCCTTTGATTAAACTTGAAATAAAGCACCACACACTAATCAAGGTAATTTAAGAATCATAAATCTTTCATGATTATTTTCATAAAAGTATTTTCATGATTTTTAATTTTTCTCATTTAATAATGACCGATGCGTATTGTTAAATAAGGACCGCCTAATGACCCATGCATTGAAAGTAACGCGGACCATTCACATGGGTTCTTCTTGACCAACTAAAATAGAAAAAATAAAGTATACAAATTAATAAGCTTTATAAAATTGGCTTAGGATAATGAAACTTTAAAATATTCTTTTTATGGGGAACTTTAAAATATTAAAGAAGGCGAATATTAAAAATTCTAAAGTTTAGACGTACAAAAGAGTTGAGTTTATATACTTGAGTGTGTTATAAATTAATAATCTATGTGTAATAATTTAGATTTTTAATTATTCTGTAAAATTTATATTAATATTATTTAATTACAGTTGAAAAAATATATGATTTATTTTGAATTATTATATGTAATTTTGTAAAATAATATAATTATTATGAATTTAAGGGTCCAAGTATAAATAAATAATAATAATAATGGGTGTGGTAGTAAAATAAATAATTAATTTTCTGTTAGTATACGATAGAATGTAATTTAATTAGGAATTAATTTATTTATATAATTATATTAAAATATTGGGTCAAAAAATAATTATCTTAAATATCTATTAAAGATAAAAACGAATCTATATAATTATTAATCGAATGTGAGGGAGATTCGCACGCCACGTATGCGCCTTTTCTTCTTATAAAAAGGGAGGCGTGTCACCGAGAGCAGAAAGGAAAGGAGAAAGGAAAAGAAAGAAGAAAGAAAGAAAAGAAAAGAAGAAAGAAAGAGAGACAAAGAAAAGAGAGGACAGGAAGGAAAAAAATAATGAAAACTGAAGTGATTTTTGGTAGTGGAAAGAAATAGTAGGGTATTAAAGTTAAGGTGAGTTATATTATACCTTAAGTTATCAAAATGTATTTTACTTATATTTTGACTTATCATATTTATTTTATACAAATTATGTTTTATAAATTATTATAAACTATATTATTATTTGAGTTACGTAGATTATTTTCTGAACCCTATTTGTTAAAAGGAAACCCATGGATATGTTTGTTTTATATTTTAAGAACATTTGACTATAATCTTATATACAATTATGTTTTGTAAGTACCACCACGGGAGTCCCACGCCTTGGGAGACTTAAATAACCATTGGCCTCTGTTTGACCACTTTGTGGTCCTCTGTTTGTCATGGATCTATTAAACTCTGTTTTGTGCGGAACAAAGTGCTGTGCGGAGCTAAGTGCTACACTATTGTGGGAGTCACCTCTAGAATCCGTATGAGCCACCTCTTGAATCCGTACCTCTGTTCTGTGCGGAGCAAAGTGCTGTGCGGAGCTAAGTGCTACACTATTGTGAAAGCCATCTCTAAAATCCGTACGAGCCACCTCTTGAATCCGTACCTCTGTTCTGACTATCACTTCTATAATCTCTGTTCTGTTCTGTTCAGTACCGTGGTTATGGCTATATATTTACATAATTTCTGTATTTCAATTTCTGTCACTTAAATGATCTGTTTACCAATGATTTATTTACATAATCTCAGTTTTGCTACTTAAAGAATTATTTGTTCCGACTAAGTTATCTTAAATGTTTTGGCATAACTAACTATCCATGGTTATTTCGTGTCCCTTATACTCTTGATACAATATTCCTCACTCTGCCATGTGCTTATAGTTGTTTATCAATTTTCAAGAAACAATGCAATTCAGAAATAGCTTTAGAAAGTCTTAGATGCGGAGCTGCAGGATAGACACACACAGCACTTTTATGATATCTTTCTATGTAAATATCGACCTTTTTGGTCAGTAAATTTTGTAATAAAAATAGAAGCTCCAATGATTATTTTGGTAACTTTACTTAAATATTTCTTCCGCTTGCGTTTATTTATTTGTTTATAAATTGGCCGGAGGTAACCTCAGTTACTAGCCATCACGATGCTTATCCCTTGGGTACGGGGAGCGAGTCGTGAAAAATGGTATCAGAGCAATGATTTATAAAAAAGAAAATCATCATTGGAGCATAAGACACACGCACATTTAAAAAGTAGGATAGCGGGTAATTAGTACCTGAATATTATATTTTGTTAGTCGATTTAATTATATTATAATTTTATATGGTTATATATATATATAATAAATTATTTTTTTTTAGTGTGCCTAATTGGTAAAGGATATTAGATATGATTTATATTTGTTATAGTAAAATAAGGACAAGAAAAGATGGATGTCGGGCTCAAGCACCTACCAAAATTATAATATAATTAAATACATATAATTTTCAATTCAGTATTCAAAAAAAAAATTTATTTTGATGTTTTTTTTTTTTTATAAAAGTGGGTTCAAATTTTAAATATACTAATTTTGAAACTATTTCCCATCAATGAAAAGGTCATCTCAAAATTTTCAATTCTTGTATGTAATTTTGTCATTGTGTTCTTATTTTTATTTATTTTTATTGTAAACAAAACGATAGAAAAGTTTTTAAACTCGCTCCTTATTTCTTATTTTGGCACAAAATAAATTTTGACAACTAGACAGTGAGTTATTTTTGGTAAAGTTTTTTTTTTTTAGGTAATATTTTCTATCAGATTAATCATCTAATATATATTTATCAGAGTGCGCAGTGGATAACTCACATATGACAAATTTCGAGGATGAAATTTTAAAAGGAGGGAAGATTGTAACAACCCAGATTTTTAATTATTCTGTAAAATTTATACTAATATTATTAAATTACAGTTGGAAAAATATATGATTTATTTTGTATTATTATATGTAATTTTGTAAAATAATATAATTATTATGAATTTAGGGGTCCAAGTATAAATAAATAATAATAATAATTGGTGTGGTAGTAAAATAAATATTTAATTTTTTGTTAGTATACGATAAAATGTAATTTAATTAGGATTTAATTTATTATATTAAAATATTAAATTAAAGAGTAATTATCTTAAATATCTATTAAAGATAAGAACGAATCTATATAATTATTAATCGAATCTGAGGGAGATTCGCACGCCACGTATGTGCCTTATCTCCTTCTATAAAGGGAGGCGTGTCACGGGGAGCAGAAAGGAAAGAAGAAAGGAAAAGAAAGAAGAAAGAAAGAAAAGAAAAGAAGAAAGAAAGAGAGACAAAGGAAAGAGAGGAAATGAAGGAAAAAAATAATGAAAATTGAAGAGATTTTTGGTGGTAGAAAGAAAGAGTAGGGTATTAAACTTAAGGCGAGTTATATTATATATTGAGTTACCAAAATATATTTTACTTATGTTTTGACTTACCATATTTATTTTATACAAGTTATGTTTTATAAATTATTATAAACTATATTGTTATTTGAGTTACGTGGATTATTTTCTAAACCCTATTTGTTAAAAGGAAACACATGGATATGTTTGTTTTATATTTTAAGAACATTTGACTATAACCTTATATACAATTATGTTTTGTAAGTACCACCACGGGAGTCTCACGCCTTGGAGGACTTAAATAACCATTGGCCTCTGTTTGACCACTTTGTGGTTCTCTGTTTGTCATGGATCCATTGAACTCTGTTCTATGCGGAGCTAAGTGCTACACTATTGTGGGAGCCACCTCTAGAATCCGTACGACCCACCTCTTGAATCCGTACCTCTGTTCTGTGCGGAGCAAAATGCTGTGCAGAGCTAAGTGCTACACTATTGTGGGAGCCATCTCTAGAATCTGTACGAGCCACTTCTTGAATCCGTACCTCTATTCTGACTGTCACTTCTATGACCTATGTTCTGTTCTGTTCAGTACCGTGGTTATGGCTATATATTTACATAATTTCTATATTTCAATTTCTGTCACTTAAATGATTTGTTTACCAATGATTTATTTACATAATCTCAGTTTTGCTACTTAAAGAGTTATTTGTTCCGACTAAGTTATCTTAAATGTTTTGGCCTAACTAACTATCTATGGTTATTTCGTGTCCCTTATACTCTTGGTATAATATTCCTCACTCTACCATGTGCTTATAGTTGTTTATTAATTTTCAGAAAACAATGCAATTCAGAAATAGCTTTAGAAGGTCTTAGATGCGGGGCTGCGGGATAGACACACAACACTTTTACGGTATTTTTCTATGTAAATATTGGCTTTTTTGGTCAGTAAATTTTGTAATAAAAATAGAAGCTCCAATGATTATTTTGGTACACTTACTTAAAAATTTCTTCCGCTTGCGTTTATTTATTTGT